AAGTCATCATTGAATACTGGTTCTTTCATCAGGGCTCTGGAAAACCAAGGAGATAGAGACATTTGATTTACTAATATGATGCAAACTACAAGCTAAGGTAGGTTAATCTATGTAAATAAATAGTGGAGTCAATATCCAGCACTGAGTGACACAGACCCAAAACTAATTAACTGTAGTGAAGCAGTTAAAGTTAAGAATGCCAAGTAACCTGGAGAAAAGTAAAAATGAACCACTCATCTGAGTTAGAAAAAAAAACTTGTGTCAGTCAATTAGAAGGACTACAAACAAGACTCCTGCACTAAAAGTATCACTTTATTTATTACTTCCTCATTTTTAGTAGGTCAGATTCCTCATACAACTTCATGGAAAAATCTTGGCATTCCAGGCTCCACATCTCTGGGACAGTTCTCAATGAAAGCTGTATGATTTGCTTGGAAGTTAATGTTAGGTTTTGTTGGGGGGGGTTGTTTTTTGTTTTTTTTAAAATGGATTCACTATTTTGAGTACTTATTTTGAGAAATGCAGTTCCTGATTCTCAGGGGCATGAAACACCCGCTACTCTTACTGACATTAGATATAGGTGCTAAAGAAAAAAAAAAAATCAATTGCAAAGTTTTGCTCAGTGGTGACATGTAGGGGGTGTACCCCCTGACAGGGCATGCTCCCCACTTAGGCGACGGGTGGGGGGGCAGGTGGGAGCACTGGTGCCCCCTGTCAGCGCTGGCTGGGGAGTGGGAGCACTGGTTGAAGGCTGCGGCCACTTCCAGGAGTGCCATGTGCTGTGGCCACTTCCAGCACAATCGACCGTGGGGGGATCCTCCTGGTCGGTGAGATTGGCCATGGGGGACCCCTCACCCCCGCCCCCCGGTTGCTGACTGGTCATGGGGAGGGGGGGACAGACACGTGCCCCCCCTGACTAAGGTGCAACCAGTTGCCCATGATTTTGCTTATGTTTAAAAATAAAGTTTGATTAAAGCATTGTGTGAATTTTAAGTGCAATAGCTAGTCTAGATTAAATCCATGAATAAACATTCCTATGCTAAGTTTAAGAGTACCTTTCTACTGTTTATTTTAATTCACAAATGACATAGATGTATAAGCAAATCATCTCAGGGTAAAAAGAGAGCAAAGCTTTACCATACATCAGCTCTTCTACGGTAAGTGCTTATATACATGCTTTTACCTCACAGTGGGTACATCTACACAAGGCACTATATGTCACTGTAGCAAGACACTACATCACTGTGGCATCAGCGGTCACAAATCGTGACGCTGCGGCTACATCACCATAGCGATGCACTCCCTAGTTGTAGTGGTGAAAAAAAACCATGCGCCGCTGGCATACTGCAGTACGGGCTGTTACTGTGCTGTTATTTAGGACTTACAAAAGGAAGTCCTAAATGGCAGTGCAGTAACAACGGCACCATATGGCCATATGTAGATGCATCCAGTAAGTGAAAACAAAACCAGACTGACTTGCCCCTTTGTTTTACTGAAGGCAAAGTTACGAGGTGTCCCATTTACTGCAGGGTAAAATTATGCAGGCAAACTTATAGTGTCCATGCATACAGTTATCCCACGAGCACTATTCTGGAACAAAACAGAGGAGAAATGCACTTTATAGATTAATTGAATAAAAAGGTGCATCTCTACCCTGCCTTCTGCCTGACTTCAGACTAACATAACTAACTACCTCTCTGGGTGCATCTACACATGCTATTAATTCAAAGTTGGCTTGCTTCACAGTAAAAATACTGTGCAGTAAGCCTACCTGGGAGCAGATTTGCTCCCACCTCACTCAGCCCTCCTGTAGCAGCCATGGGGAACACCACAGCACGCACCACAAGTCAGCTCTGGTTAGCTTATGGACTTGGAAGGCTGGAAGAAAAGCCAGGCAGATCAATTTCCCCAGGAAGGGGCAGTGTGCAGGCAGAAACAGATTGCAGCACAGTTCGTGTGGAAGCACAGAGTTTAGCCAGAAGAACCCAGAACCCAGGATGAGACCAGGAGTGAGAGAAACCCAGAGGAGAGCTGGCATAGTGAATCTGGGTGACATGGTGGCTATGGGTAGCTGCACTGGAAGTCAAGACAGAAACCAGTGAGATGAGTCAGAGGAGTGACTAATTTAATGATCAGAAGAGGGCCAGGGAAAGGAGGACTGGCTTGCTAAAGGAAGAGAACTGATCTTCCGTCTAGGGGTCTGACAGAGAAGAGATGAGTGAGAGCCGTTCAGGGAAGGAATAATCCATTGACGGAACTGAGAGTAAACAAAGTCAGGTGACTGAAGAATAACATATTCTTCAGGGGTTAGATGCTAAGTAATTGAGACTGGATTAGTGCCATGAATGACTGGTGTGAGGAATTAACTGATGACTGACAGTTCCTATGAAGGAGAGAAATATATGAAAACTGAATGAAGCACAGACTAATTCAATTTTGTAAGTGGGGGTCATGAAGGCATTAGACACATCTATACCAGGTGTGGACTGCCTTGCAGACA